TTCCAACGCTGACCTGAAATTCAGGAATAACATTATTTCTTATACTCATTTAAAGATATTTTGGGGGTCAGATCAGTTTTAATATATATTTTGGTCGTCAAACTATCGGTTGCATTGACCAGTGCTGCATTAAATCATGGTTAATCTGATGGCGATCCTGATGTTCATTTCGTCTTCTGATAGGATTACCAACTTAATTCAAAAGAATCACTTTAATAACGGTGGAATCATTTTGAAACATTTTTGGCATATGTTGCATCCCGAGTACTGTCACAGCCAAATCATGATGAATTTACCGATTTCTAGAAACCTAAAACACAACCAATGAACAATGCCTACAGCAATCACCCAAATACTGGACGGGTGTATTACGTACAACCAGAACGCTAAACTCTATGCATGCAAAATCGATTGATTATAGCTCGGTAAAGAATCTTCTTTCCAAGAGATTGTATACGTCTTAACTCAATGCCGCAAATTGTAGATTTTAACCGAAAATAAACAAAAAAAAAAAACTGAGCTAAAAAGCAACTAAATTTGCGGCTAAAATTGATCAAAATTTATTGGTATACGCTTAAATTAAACCAAATTAATGAAAATTTAGTATATGCTTAAAAACATAAACGTGACCATGAAAATGAACATGGTTGTGCTTGTATTTTTATGCATGTACCAATTAATAAAGTTTCATATGCAATTTGTAATAAAGGAAAGTACCAATTCTCAAAAAAGTTTACGCTATGAGTTTTGCCTTGCGTACTGAGAAAACTAAGCAACTCAGTGAAACACTTTAAATTCTATCTATTTCTTAATATATTTCAAAAAAACAAAAAACAAAAAAAATTTTAAAAAAACCTGTGAAAGTAGATGCAATAGCACGGAACCATGTTGTTGCTGCATGTTTCCGACATCATGCTCCTCGGCATCTTCGTAAATGGCATCGAAATCTTCGTTATCGTCACCGTAATCTGGTTCTTCGGTTGCTGACTTACTACGTCCACGAAATGGATTCGTCCTGTTTGGGTTATTACTGTGTCCCGGGTTTCCTGTATTATTCAAGCAGTTGTCTTCAGCTGGCACTGTCTTCTCATCGCTTGGAGTTTCCGCATCGAAATATTCATCCTCGCTGCTTGAGTATGTCAATGGTGGCACAATCGCCTTGCCCTGTATTAAAATATTTCAAAGTCGAAAGTTGGAAGCCCTTCCGTGTTTGGTTCTCAGTGAAAAGCAGGTAATGGAGAAGTTGCCTGAGTGGTAGCAAATGCCAACAGCAACCACCCGCTGCCAAGGTTCCCTTTTCTGAGCATTGCTTACAAGCAAGCTGAGAGTGCGTTTGACTCCCTGGTACATGCCAGTACCAGTTTACCATCGAAACGAATCGTAGTTTACCATCGAAACGAATCGTAAAGAGATTGGTTGTTCCAGCGGTAGAATCAGACCCTCGATCTAATGCACGGTAACAGTGCAGTGGGTAGAAAGTCCACTGCGCCATGCCTGCCGGCAGGAGCCAATGTCTCCGCAAGATATCCAATATGCAGCATGCATTTATGGATTGGTAATGGAGTAGAATCATCAGCACAGCCATAAATGCTTGCACCACTCGGCCATATTTCAAAGTAATGAGAAGAGAATCAACTGAACACTGCTTTTTAAAACAACAGTTTTTCAGAAACCGCGACTTTCCATGAAAATAAACTTTTCCAAATGAGATGAACAGATCAAAAATTCCATTTGGCATACACTGAGAGGAGGGGGAATACTTGGAAGTAGCACAAATGGC